CTTCGGATCCTCTGTCTCCCTCTCTCTGCCTCTCCCCCTCCTCTCAAATATAAAATAAATATTAAAAAAAGTAAACAGGATTATAATGGCCACCTTTGGAAAAATATCTTAATTTTGATCACAGGAATTGGATTTGAGATTCATCTTCACAATTTACTAAGCACAGGACCTTGGGTATATACCCTTGCTTAGTTATCCACTGTAACAAATCACCTCAAAACTGAATAGTTTAAAAGAACAACCATGCTTTATTTACTCAAGATTCAGGGGGAATAAGTCGCTCATTCCTGAGGGAAACTAATCGCTTCTCGGCCTTTTGGCTAAGATCAAGTGTAGTATCTGAAGGAAAATCTGGATGGTACATCACGGTGGTCACCACAGTTCTAACAGGATCTGTGGGTTTTGGTAAATAGACTCAGCTCTCTTATAACCTGCCACCGAGGAAGTTGAGGAATAAATACTCCAACCTCACGGTCCTCCAGACTTCCGATCTTTTGCCAGTGCCCTCTCCCATGCACCAAACTCAGGAAGTCACAGGACTCTGTGGGTTTTGAGTTACAGAGCAGGGTGGAGAAGGGTGAAGAGTGGATCTAGAGGGGCAACAGAAGATATTCGGCAGCAGAAGGTGAGTTTAGTTTTTGAACATTAAAGGCATGTTGAGCTAAATAATATCCTGATGTGTACATCTTATTGGTGGATTAGAGGAGTGGTCCCAACCACCCTCTCATTCATTCAATTCCTTGCTCCTTTGCTTTCCTCCACCTTCTGATAACTTAACCTCATTTTTCATCCTGCCATTTAAAATAAACTCTGCCGTATTACTTCAGCTTAAAACGTGTCCTAGTTCATGAGTTTAGCTTTTCTCCTGACCCTATTTTATTTTGTCATCCTTCATTTAGCTCCATATACCCATCTACTAGCCTGGTAATGTTCTTCATCCAACCTCTTCCTGACACCTTTCCTTCTGTGCACCAATCCTCTGGAGACTCTTTCTTCGCCCAGTTTCTTATCCTGGCTTCTTGATTAAGACTAGAAAGAGGTGAGGTAAGGCACATGAGAGATGACAGGTGGATGGGAATTATGGGATGGTGGGGGGGAAGGGAAGGCTCACTTTGGTGGATCCCTGTCTATGCTTACTACAGTGTATTTTCTGAAGCTATTATCCAATGGCAAAACGAATTCATGGCCTTTCCCCACATTGATTATTTCCAACATGCTCTCCCATTCTGTGTTCTGATATAAAAGTCCTACCATTTAACCTCAATAATCATCTCTTCTTTGAAACGCTTTGGCTTCCATATATCGCCTGCCCTCAAATTCAACCTCATTTTTTTTTTAATGTTTATTTTTGAGAGACAGAGAGAGACAAAGCGCAAGTGGGGGAAGAGCAGAGAGAGAGGGTAACACAGAATCCAAAGCAGGCTCCAGACTCTGAGCTGTCAGCACAGAGCCCGACAGGGGGCTCAAACCCACGGACCATGAGATCATGACCTGAGTGGAAGTTGGGGGCTCAACTGACTGAGCCACCCAGGTGCCCCTCAACTCATTCTTTTCTGCCTGTTCCTTAGTTTCTTTGATTATTTTGGTAGACAGTCCCTCTCTCCTTCCCCTCAATCATATTTTGCTCCCCTTTGCCGGATAGCCTTCCTCTTAAATATATTTTCTGTGGGCATCTTATTATTTTTTTCTCATAGTCTCAACTATTATTCATATGTGTATGGCTCCTAGATCTGAATCGCCTTCCCTGAACTCTTTGGGATGCCATTCCAGAGTTCCAAACCCTACTGTGGCTGGTGGGATGAGACCAACCATAGGTCTTCTACTCAAGCTAGTACTAAAATGTACTTTCAGGTTTATTTTTAGCCCTTTTGTTCCACCACTCCTGCCCCCCCCCCACCCCTTTTAAAACTCTTCCTTTAACTGTTCCTCAATCCATTTGGTTGTTTTCATATCATCCTGGCTTCCTTTAGCCTGTGTGAAAACAAAACAAGCTTAACTAACGCTGAATTGACTGCCCCACGCCCCAAGTCATTGATACCAAAAGCTCTCCCTTTCCCTGTTTTCGTCTTCACAAAATTTCCTTTTCAAGATTTCAAAGGAAACACTTATCGAGAAGATAATCACTATTTTCTTTCCCCTTAAAGTACTTAACATGCAAAATACTAAATATTTACATTTAAAATGTAAGCCTAATTGAGGAGCGGTGTGTCTCTGCGTGGGAGAAGCAGAGGTGGTGGCAAAGTGGTGAGGAGTTTGTTTGAAACCCTTAAAGGTCTCTAACCCGAGAAACTGAAAAAATAACCAACAAGCACTCCGCTGAGAGGAATTGGGACTAATTCATCCACTTTCTTCTCCAAATCATCTGGAATTTCTTTGGGTGTTTATCCTGAGAATGGTGTAAGGGAATGAGAAGGACAACATTTAAGCAAGAACTGAGAAAAGTTAGACTGCTCAAGACAAAATTAAAAAACAAACAAACAAACAAACAAAACTCATCCCGCTGGTTTATACTCGCATTCAGACTTTTAAAGGCACATTTTACCTACAGATATCCATTGAAACCAACCGAGGGGAAATTAGAAAGGAGAGGCATTGGGGTACCATTTCTATGCGAATCGACGTCTGATTTTCATTAGTCCGGCACTGTTTTTCCTTCAAGGACTTAGTGTTTATTACAGCAACAATTACCCCAGTAACAATTCCTTCAGGGTAGTTTTGTTTAAAGGTGCCTAACTTACATACTTCACCCAACGTCTTTCAAAATCGTTCAGTCCTTCAGGGTGGAAGTTAAAATACTATCTTTATCCCGGCTCTGGTTCTGCACCAGAAGACTGTCTCCAGTAGGGCAGTACCATGAAGGCACGCTTTTTAGATCATGTGCACGTTGCGGCGCACCTTGGCTGCAAGGTGCTTTTAAAAGGCCAAGAGCTCGTGCGTGCTGTGTACCAAATTATCAGTCCTGCAACCTGGGCACGTAAGATGCTTTCTCCCTCCCTTTCACACTAAAAACAAAAAAAACCCAAACAAATCCAGCGGGCATCAAAACCGTCGGAACGCTTAGGGAAAGCGCGCCAACCACACAAAGAAAAGGAGGGGGGCTACAGGGATTCAAAATCATTTCCCCAGGACGAACACCCTCCTGGACCTATCGGAGTTAACTGCGCGCTTGGTCGTAGCCAATAGACACAGTACTTCTGGTTCAGGTCCACCCTGAAGACTGACGGACATTTGTGCAGTCCAATGAAACAGTGCGATGCTGAAGACTTGACCAATACATTCGGGAGGTGGGTGGAGTGTAGGCCAGGGGGTTGGCGGTGCCGTGTCATGGAGGCTCAGTCTCAGAGCAGCCATTGAAGGGGAAGGAACTGCGGGTGTGTGTGTGTGTGTGTGTGCGTGCGTGTATGTGTGTGTATGTGTGTGTGCGCGCGTGTGTGTGCGTGAAAGGCAGTGTGGACAAGGAGGTAGGGGCAGTCGAGCTAGAGTCTCAACTCCTTGGACTCCATTTGCTATTCTCTTCTTTCTTCCCCACACCTATCTGGTGGTGGTGGGCGTTTATATTTGCTTTTCTTTTCATTCATTTACAAATCTTTTAAAATTAAGGGTTGGGGGTAGTGGGAAAGGCAGGAAAGGGTAAGGGAAGGAGTACTGCAGAACAGCAGGGAGGAGGACATGGAGATGAAGAAGAGGACAATCCTGAGTTAAGGAACATGGGAGGAGGTGAGATGACTCAGCCCCTTCCCCTTCCCCACCGGACCTGTATTGGGAAGATCGGCTTTGTAGGGATCCGGGTGGGTGTCTGAGGAGGGGTATTGAGTTAACCCCGTAACCCTGAGGTTACGGTTTGGGGGAAATATTTAATTTTTAAAAGCAATCATTAAAAATCTCTTCTACTTCAAATGGCGAAGGTTTAAGTTTCTAGGGAAGGAAGGTAAAAAGTACCCGGGGGGCTTAGCCTCCGCGCCCTCTCTCCCCGAGTCGGGAGTCCTGTCCCAGGGCGGGCAGCAGCGGAGGTTAGCCGCTGCTCCGCCGCCTGTCCCCTCCTCCCTCCTCCTCCTGGGGGCTGGTGGCGTGGGGCGACCCACCGGTCCCATCACTGCTGCAGCCGTCGCCTGAGAAGTTAGTCCAACTTTTCTGCAACGCCGTCAACTCTTTTTTTCTTTTTTTTTGGGGATGCCCATGGCCTCGAGGCCCTGGTGTCTGATCGACGTCGCGCCGGGCGCGGGCTGGGGTCTCTGGCGGAGTCCGCGTACGTCTGCCGCCGGCTGCGCCCACTCTCTTCGGAAAAGTGGCGCGGCGTGCTGCCCGCCGCCCGCCGCCGGCGGAACGGTCATGGTCGGTTCCGCGGCTGCGGGTGTTTTGGGAGCTGTCGCCGAGACTGAGGTGGGAGGGCACGCGAGGCGTAATCCCCCGGTCTCCGCGGTGCACGCTCGGCGTGTCGTGCATGCAGCGGCCGTCACCACTGATCCCGGGAGAAGGCTCACAGAACTCAACAAATGGGCCGTAGTAGTTTTGTGCGTTAAAGCTGGGCTCGGCGAAACTAAATGATGCGCTCTTGCTGCCGTCGCCTCAGTTAAAGAGACGGTTAGAGGTGGGGCCACGTGAGGCGGGTCGTTAACTTTTTCGGGGTCGGGCGGGAGGCGTTTCGCCTCCTGTTTGAAGGCTATGCTTTCCTCGGTTGCACAGCCCTCCGCCCGGGGCGGAGGTGCCGGGCACGCGGGCGGGGAGGCGACCCCCTGTTCCCTCGAGGAGTCCCCGCCCCGTCTGGGGTTTCCCGTGGGTCGGAGCTGGTCATGAGAGCGGGGCCCGTGGTCCGTGAGGAACCTCTCACTCCAGAACGCCGAGGAAAGGCCGATCTTGAGCATTAATTGCGTCTCCCCTCCCCCGAAATAAACACGAGAGGTGGAACAAGAGGATACAGTTGTTTTCTGCAGGGGTGGGTGGGGGTGGTGCCTGCGCACACCAGCACAGGGGAGGAGTGGGCTCTGTTCGGTGGGCTCTGGTGGCGTGCAGAATGGGAACCCAAGGTCTTAATGTGTGTGTGTGTATGTGTGTGTGTGTGTGTGTGTGTGTGTGTTTTAAGTCCCTTTTCTCTGAAATTGGCAAAGGGCGGGGAGGAGGAAACAGTTGCTGCTATCACCCCAGAGAGAGATGGGAGTTTTCTAGGGCCTACTCTTTGGGGGCTTCAGGAAAAAAAAAAGCTGCCTTACAGAAGCACACATTTAGTATGCTTTTGTATGTCTTCGTTTGGAAAAGTGAATTTGCTCCTCCATACCCCCCTTTCATTTACTTACCCTGTCCGTAGTAATTTCCTTGCTAGTTTTGGGGAGTGCCGGATGTTGCTTTTTTGCAGTCTCTCCTTCCTCCCCTGTGGTGTAATAACGGTCTCTTGTATTTGTATAGGTCTTTACTGTTTACAAAACCTGTTTGTGTTTGTTTTTTACCTTTCTCCTTGGAGGGACTTGTAAGGTGGATTGTATTGTTCTAGAACCCAAATTAGCAAATGGAGTCCCCTCGGGGGCAGTGAAGTTACTTAAGTGGAAGAACTGGCTTTCTGACACCAAATCTTGTGGCTCTCTCTCCTCCCGCTCAGCTGGACCAGGAGTCAGAAGATTTAGAGTGAGGCTTTGTCATACAAACTGCTGTGTGACCTTAGCCAAGTCATTCTTACCCTTTGGGCCTTGGCTTCCTTACCTCTAAACAGATCATATACCTTCTCTGGTCTCTAAAATAATTGTCAAAGTCATACTCAACTAGAGAACGTGGCATTCCTCGTTGCTAATTTTTAGCCCTGAAAATACCTCAAACATATTTTTGTATTGGGAATAGACTGCCGGAGTCTCCTGTCTCCCCTTTAAGATTAAGTCCTTCCAGGTCCACACAGCAGCAAGTTTTGTTCTACAACTGTGACCTAATAGAGGATGCAGCCCCTCCCCCTCCCCCACTGTGGGAGAAACAAAAATGCTAGGAGGGTGTTACAGAGAAATAACATTTTGTCAAGGATGTATCGTTCTGGGTGATATTGTTAGGCCCCTCTAAAAGCCAACTTTCTCAGCATGAGCTTTCTAACATTTCTTCACGAAGGGTAATAAGGTATTTGGGAGTTATGGTGGCATTTATCAACCAAAGATCAAGGAATTTAAACTGGAAACATGAATAAAATAGTTTCCTTTCTTCTCCCTTATGCTTTAGGGCAGCTCCCTGGAATCCTTTACCAGTAGCCCAGGCATCACCTCACTGTAAAGTATATGCTCTCATGTTGACAGTCCTTCTCATCAGGGGCAGAAGCAAGTTTCACATGGGACCTTTTTCAAAGTTTTTTTCCCCTGCATCAGTGATTTCAACAGGCATTGAACTAATTGGTCTAAGTTTAAATTTAAAAGGTTAACTTATAATGATGACTTTAGATTGTATTTCAGGTTTTGGTGGGGGAGGAGAGAATGAAAAGGATCTGGGTAAGGGGATTGATGTGTGTATTCTTTTTTTAAAGTTTATTTATTTTGTGAGAGAGAAAGCAGGAGTGGGGGTGAGGCAGTGAGAGAAGAAGAGAGAGAATCCCAAGCAGGCTCTGAGCTGTCAGCACAGAGCCCAAGGTGGGGCTCAAACCCACAAACCACGAGATCATGACCTGAGCCAAAGTCTGATGCTTAACTGACTGAGCCACCCAGGCGCCCCAGGACTGATGGTTTTATCTTCATGTTTCCAGTGTGTCAAGACTCAGATCTTTTGCTAAACAGATTGCAAAGTAAAGACTCATTCATTTTCTGTCTTACAGGTGACAGAATTAGTCCTCGATAATTGCCTATGTGTCAATGGGGAAATTGAGGGCCTGAATGATACTTTTAAAAAACTAGAGTTTCTGAGTATGGCTAATGTGGAACTAAGTTCACTGGCCCGGCTGCCCAGCTTAAATAAACTTCGAAAGGTAAGTTGGCATTAAGCTTGAAATCATCATAATTTTGAGGCCCAGGTTTTGGCCAAGTGAAACAACCATTCTGCCTTCTAATTAGAAGTTTCCAAACTTCTACAGATAAGAAAAAGGGTTATGTAAGATTTTGGAATCAGCTCTATTAATGCTTTTAGAAATTTACATTTAATAATGAAATTTCTTTATGACATGAATTTGGATTTAGTATCTACCAAATAGTTTTCTCTGAAACATAAAGATCCAACTATAACACGACTGGAGCCAAACTAGGGTTATAAGCTTACTCTGTAGGGGTTCTAATATATTATTTGGCATTTGTAGGTGGGAATTTGGAAATTAATAATTTGTGACAGTTTCTTGAAGCTAGAGAGAATGGCAATTGTTTTTCTTCTTCACATGGATATGTTTTGAAAATCTGATCTGCCCTAAGCCTTCACCATGGTTTGTTTTCTCTCCATGTTGAATATTTAGTTGGAACTCAGTGACAATATAATTTCGGGAGGCTTGGAAGTCCTGGCAGAGAAATGTCCAAATCTTACCTACCTCAATCTGAGTGGAAACAAAATCAAAGATCTCAGTACAGTAGAAGCTCTGGTAAGTGGAAAGTCTCTGGACTTTCTCTTTTTTGGTTGATTTTCTGAGATTTGCTTCTGTTTTATTGATTTATATTTCATTATTGATTTATATTTCACTCTTTGAAACTTCTGAATTTCTTACATGTTTTGATCTAGATGGTTACTGCTTTTACTTCTTTTAAAGATTTTTTTAAATGTTTATTCATTTTTGAGAGAGAGAGAGAGAGGGAGACCAAGCACGAGTGGGGGAGGGACAGAGAACGAGGGAGACACAGACTCTGAAGCAGGCTCCAGGTTCTGAGTTGTCAGCACAGAGCCCTGTGTGGGGCCTGAACCCACGAACCTTGAGATCATGACCTGAGCTGAAGTTGGATGCTTAACTGACTGAGCCACTCAGGGGCCCCTGCTGCTCTGATTTAAAGAAAAGCTTGGGAGGAGGTAAAAATTGTTGACAATAAGCTTGACTAGATGTAAGCTAACCACAATGTTGTTATTGTCTATTTATGCACATATTTTGTCAACAGAATCTATTAAGTGGCTACCATAGTAAGGCACTAATCAGGTGCTGCAGTTACAGTGGTGAACAGAATAAAGCCCCTTCCCTCGTGATACTTGCATCCTGGGGCCTCATTAAGAGAATTGATACAATAACCCTTCATTATAAAATGCGAAAGATCAAAAATCATTCTGATTTCAAATATGTGTTTTCTGGTTCATGAATTACAAAGAAGTAATATAGTATTTAAAATCTTGAAATGTAAGCTTTAACTTTTTACTTTTCCAGCAAAATCTTAAAAATTTGAAAAGCCTTGACTTGTTTAACTGTGAGATCACAAACCTGGAGGATTACAGAGAAAGTATTTTTGAACTGCTGCAGCAAATCACTTACCTAGATGGATTTGACCAGGATGATAACGAGGCACCGGACTCAGAAGAAGAGGACGATGAGGGTAATCATTCTTAATGCCTATAAATACAGCCTCCAGTCTAGCCGTGCAATTTAGATTGGGTCTGGATATTTAGGTGTTGGGGGGAAAAAAAGAGATTAGTAAGAAGAAAAATTTAAAAACCCAAAGCCCTAATCCTGTGTTTCTTCTTTAAGATTTCTGGTAGCTTGGGGAATTTAATGATTATTGTAGTACCAAGCTCCATGAAAATTTTATATCTGTATAAACTGTGTAACCACCACCTAGTAAAAGTGGTAACTTTTAAAATAGTACCTTTTTTTTTTTTTTTAAAAAGGAACCATTCCTTGCGTGTTATCCATAATAGCCAAGAAATGGAAACAATCCAAATGGCCTATCAACTGATGGATAAACAAAATGTGATATGTCCATACAATGAAATATTATGCTGTCATAAGAATGAATGAGGCACTGATAAATGCTGTACCTTTGAGAACATTCTGTGAAGTGAAAAAAGCCAGACACAAAAGGCCACATTTTGTATGACTTCATTTGTATGGCATGTCCAGAATAGGCATATTCATAGAAGGTGGAGTAGTGGTCACCAGGGCTGGGGGAGAGGAGATTGGGGAGTGACTGTAAATGTGTATGGGTTTTTTTGAGGGGGGTGATGAAAATGTTCTGAAATTAGATACTGAATATACATGTTTGGATAAATGGGTGACTAACAGATGATGGAATGGATCTTGTTAGTTATAGAATACTGTTTATTATTCTTGGTTGAAAAGTTTTTTTTTTTTTTT